ATAGTAGGTCGGAGAGGTAGGAGGGAGCGAGGCCGTGAATGGCCTTGTAGGTGAGGATGAGTATCTTGAATTCGATCCTCTGGGGGATGGGGAGCCAGTGGAGGTGAGCGAGGGTGGGAGTGATGTGGTCCCGAACCCTGGTGCGGGACAGTACACGAGCTGCAGAGTTCTGAATGACCTGCAGCTTGTGGAGGGAGGTGGCGGGAAGGCCGGCGAGGAGAGAGTTTCCATAGTCCAGCCTTGAGGTGATAAAGGCGTGGACCAGGGTTTCAGCCGCGTGAGGGGTGAGGTAGTGCCGTAGTCTGGTGACATTCCGGAGGTGATGGAAGGCGGTGCCAGTTGTGGCGCAGATATGAGGGAGAAAGGACAGCTCAGGGTCGAACAGAACTCCGAGGTTCCTGACTGACTTTGAGAGGTGGAGAGTGCAGCCTTGGATGCTGATGCTGTCAGCGCCTGAGGTGCGGAGGCGCTGACGTGAGCCAATCAGGAGGGCCTCAATTTTACGCTAGTCTTGTGCATGGGGTGTTGCTGGAACATTTTGGCTGTCAAGTTGGTTTATATAATAGGAAGAAGAAATAATAATAATACTTGTGTTTGATATAGCTAATGACCCTAATTCTGTGTTATAATAATGAAATGAAATAATAATCTTTGTATTGATGTATCCCTTATGACATTGTCATTGAAGTCTCAAAGCACTTTGCAGCATTTTCTGTGAAATGTAGAGACTGCATTTGTAAAGACTGAACACAGCAGCCAATTTGCCACAAAAGGTCCCACAGAACAGCCACTTTTATTTGGGGAATTACATAAGATATAGGAGCAGGAGTTGGCCATTCGGCCCCTCAAGCCTACCCCGCTATTTAATAAGATCATGGCTGATCTAATAACCTAATTCCATTTACCCGGCCTATCCCCATATTCCTTAATCCCTTTAGTTCTTAAAAATTTATCGATCTGAGTCTTGAATATGGTCAATGACTGAGCATCCACAGCCTTCTGGGGTAGAGAATTCAATAAATTCACTACCCTCTGAGTAAAGAAATGTTTTCTCAAATCAGTTCTAAAGGGCTGACCTTTAATTCTGAGATTATGACCCCTAGGTTTAAATTCTCCGACCAGGGGAAACAGTCTCACACTATCTATCCTGTCATGATCCTTAAGAATTTATATAAGAATTTCTTTAAGACCACTTCTAATTCTTCTATATTCTAGAGAATATAGGCCTAGTCTACTCAACCTCTCCTCGTAGGTCAACCCCCTCATCCCAGGAACCAACCTAGTGAACCTACATTGCACACCCTCGAATGCCTTCTGAAAATCCAAGTACACTATATCCACTGGTTTGCCACCCATCTAACCTGCTAGTTACATCTTCAAAAAACTCTAAAAGATTTCTTAAACAAGATTTCCCTTTCATAAAACTGAGTTGACTCTGCCTAATCATATTATGACTTTCTAAGTGCCCCACGACAACATCCCTAATTATAGCCTCTAGAATTTTCCCGACCAGGCTAATTGGTCTAAAGTTTCCCAGTTTTTCTCTCCCACCCTTCTTAAATAGTAGTGTTATGTTTGTGATCTTCCAATCAACGGGTACCATTCCAGAATCCAGGGAATTCTGGAAGATCAAAAACAATTGTTGGCCAGGAAAGTGTTGTGGATATTTGGGAAATAGCTTTTTTAATGTACATTGAGCACTGATTGACATTCAGTTTGGTTGGTTGGTTAGTTGATCCAATGCAACAACTTATGATTTAGTCTTTTGTATTGTTCTGAGTATGGACCAAATATGCCTTGACTTACATTGGCATTCCTTGGCATTGGATGGCAAATTTGGAAAACTAGTGCCTTCCCCAGTATCAACGCCAATCAAGTCGTTGAGCACAAAAAATACTTTTTTTTATTTGTATAACTAACCAACCAAAATTGTTTTTATTTAGAAATGTCTGCATTTCTAAAGTCCTGACCAACATTTTACAGGACTCCCCTAGTCTGTGTACTAATTGCCTCCCTAGTATTGCTTTCCAGCTGGCTAACTGGAGGCATGAGCATCACTTTGAGAGCAACGTGGCTGTTCAATTTGCCTTCTAAATAAACAGTAATTACAGGAGATGTTTCAATGAGATGATACGGTGTTATTAAAAATTCAAATTCTCTCTTCCTACGCACCGGCAAACCAGATGATATTTTCCATCAGGTTTCACCGAACAACTATTAAAAGTAGCAGGAATCTTTAGTGACTTTCTAGATTTTCTATCTACCGCCCCTTCCCACCCAGAACCTTTCTAGCTCAGGGGTCCTAAGCCCAATTGCAGTAAACCTCACATAAGTCATATCAGTCGGTACACATATCAATACACATACATTCAATGTGACTTAAGCAAAGTATGAGTTACTTGAAACTTATATTAAAAAAAAGAAATTCAATGAGACTAGAGCAGATGTAAGAATTAGGTGATTATGATTTATACAGATCAGACTTACGTGAATTTTTACTGTGCACTGCTCAACTCAACTGAATGAGAATATTAGGTACACGCCTGGCACACACTGTTGTTACAGTCCGCAAACTCAGCTTAATCGGTGTTGTCCTGTGTCTGATTTACTGCTGTACTAGACAGTACTCTTACCTACAGCCTATCAGAAGAGTCCCAAGTACTCAGGCGTTAACAGGTAGCCTTATTGTTCCAGAATATTTCAAGGTGTGAGCCTGGAGTTTGTTTGTTTTGCAAATCTGAAACAATCATGTGATATTCATTATGTTTTTAAAAAAATAAATTTCTACAGAAGCTGATGGCAAATTGCCAATCACATCAGAATATTTGTCATCAAATGATGACAGGCCACCAAACCTGCCCTGTTCAGAAGTGTTTTTGTAAAATTCATTTTTTTTAAAAAAACACACTTCATTGCATGGTATAGTCCATATCCTTATTCTTTACCATTAACTTATCCACTCGCCCTTCAACAACAACAAAATTACATTTATAGACCATCTTTCACGTGGGGAGGACGTCCCTAAGTGCTGAACAGTCAGGTGTCGGGGCCCGGGCATGGGGGAGGGGTGAGGGAAGGCAGAGAGGTGGAAGGGAGACCAAAGGCACAGTTGAAGAGAAGAGTCTTGAGACCGGCCTTGAAGGATGCGAGGGAGAAAGCGAGGAGAAGGGACCGTGGGATGGAGTTCCAGAGTGTGGGGGCAGAGAGGCTGAAAGCCCGGCCACCGATGGTAGGGCGGGTCGGGTGGGAGACATGGAGCAGGCCGGAGCCCGCTGAACGGAGGGAGTGGGCAGGTTGGTAGGGAGTCAGCAGGTCAGAGAGGTACAAGGGGGCAAGGCCATGGATGGCCTTAAAGGTGAGAATTCACTGAATAATCAGTTGATTTTAATTGCTTCCTTCTAGTTTTAATAACTTTAAATTATCAGATAGTTGATTTGCATAACCAAACTATTTTTCTTTGAAGGGTGAAAATCTAACTGCAATGTGCATGGTACAATATTTGGTGAAAGATTTATTGAACAGTGATGCTAAACATTTGGGACAACATTTTCAAAGTTTGTACCCTTCAATTTTCTACCCCTGGTCTCCAGTTTGCAGGATGTGGCAGAGTTTGGCGTATTTCCAAATTAAATGTTGGAACTGAAACATTGGGCTTTCATGTTCCAAAATTAGACAACTAACCCATAGGTTAGAATATATTAAAAACCAAGTAGGCCAAAACAACTGAATAAGTAAACTTGTAATTTAATGCATTAATGGAATTAGATGATGGTTCATATAAATTGATATTTTAGAATTGATGCAATTAGATGAATTATTATCATAAGAAATTTGGGTTGTACGCATCGCATGTTGAAGGGATATGATGAAAGGGCAGGGGATTAGGACAAAGATGTGGCCAAACCTAATAAACTGGCGGAACAGGCTAATAAACTGGTGGAACGGGTTGATTACCTTCCTCCTGTTTTTGTTTCCCTATGCTCTAAATGAACCCGGACTCGATCGTAATTATAATTAGGCATTATAATTAAGACTCTTTGAAAAATCTGCCTAGTTATTATAACTGCAGCGTATTAAAAAATCTAAATACTATTTCAGGGAGTTTTGTTTTTAATTACAAGAATGACTGCCCAGAACAGGCTCAATATAATTTAGTAGTGCTTCTTTACCATGTTAATTTGGTTTTAACCTGGGCCAATAGAAAAGTGCAGAAATATTTGCCCCAAATTGCATGGCGTTTAACAAATTTTGTGGAAAATTGCAAAGGGTTGAATTGTGCTATTAAGAGACGCATTTTGTGAAGCAACCCAGATTAAAACTGTAGGCATATACTTCCTGAACATGTAGCTATGTTTAAAATATTAAAAATGTTAATTTGAATAGTACAGCACTTACCAATAATTCATTGTTGGAGCTCAATTTAGGTCTCGGGCGCCACAGGAGCTCAGGTTAGGCCGTGGGCGGCAGGCGAAGCTGATTTCCTGCTCGCGCTGCATCCATGATCCCAACATTCCCCGTGCCCCACATGGGCAATCTGAGCCGCACCCCCCACAGTAGCAACGTTGAGCAAACAGGGCGCAGAGGCCCAGGGCCTAGCACACTGTGTGTACAGATTTATCGCGGACGGGGGTTATTTGTAGCAGAGGAGGGAAAAAATTCCTCGGAAAAATGTGTGGCCGCACTTTTCTATTGACCCAGCTTATAACACAGTTGCAATATGGATCTCATTCGCTGTATACATGTAGCTGGGCAACTGACTTCTGGCGTGCAGACTTCCTTTCAAACAGAAATGGTCACTTCTTGGTTGTTGTGCACGGGCAAAGTAGGAAATGGCATTGCTAGCATCCTCATGATCCAGACATTGCACTTTTCACATGTTTGGGAAGTGGCAGGGAGCAGTGTGCATGCATATTGAAACCAGATACCACTATCCAACAAGTTCCAGTGTAAGCAATTGGGTTTAAGACTAACTCATCTTCTCAACCCGTTTTGTTTTGCAGGCCGTACATTTCCAACACACCCTTATTTTTCTGCACAGCTGGGTGCTGGGCAGCTCTCTCTGTTTAATCTGTTGAAAGCCTACTCCCTGCTGGATCAGGAGGTGGGCTATTGCCAGGGGCTTAGCTTTGTAGCAGGAATCCTGTTGCTGCACATGAGCGAAGAAGATGCCTTTCGAATGCTGAAGTTTCTCATGTACGACATGGGCTTGAGGAGACAATACCGACCTGACATGATTATTTTGCAGGTAGAGAGAGAGATTGTTGCAGCTTGATCTGAATTAATATTGAATAATTGGGAAATTGAAAGCAGCTGTTTGCAAATTTGTCTAAAGTTGCTACTTTTCACTTTGTTGTGGGTTGGTTTGACGTGTCTATTTTTACATAATGGTACATTTTAACATCCTTACATTTCCAGTGCCTTTGAACATCCTCCCAATGTGAAAGGCGGTATATGTAAATGTGTATTGTTCTAATAATTTAAGAAAGCACTCAATAAGAAAACAATTCAGCCCATCAAGCCTATTCATTCTACAGATCACACAATACCTGCCCTACTCTATCTAGTTCTACAATTGCTCTCCAGTAACTCACCTGAGTGGACATTATTCACATATGAACCATGATGGAGAGCATCAACACACTATTCATCCTCAGACATGATAGTCTTGCACAATCTAATCCTCACCTGACATACACACACTCCTGACACACTCCTATTTTCATTGGTGTTTGTAGCAACCAGGAGTTGTGAACCCTAGCTGATTTCTCCTCTCTTCTCCGCAGCCCCACAAATCCATGGCTAATGAGGATACTTGTGTCCCAACCACTATAATAATAATAATCCTTGCATTTGATATAGCGCTTTTCATGTCAGGAGGACATCCCAAAGCACTTCACAGAACACACTGTAAAGTGAATTGACTGTATATTTGTGGGCGAACGCGGCAGCCAATTGCGCACAGCAATGTCCCACAAACAGTCGTAGATTGAAAATGACCAATTTATTATTGTTTTTGGTTTTGGAGGAGATTATTATTAGGCGTGTGGAGTAAGGAAACTTGCCCAAGGTTTCGCCCTGCCTGGAATTGAACCCAGGTCTCTCGCTTGCAAAGCGAGTGCTCTAACCACTGAGCTATAGGACTCCTGGTTACATTAGCGCTGAGCAGTCCTGCTGCACCTCATAAGCGAGTAACACTTCTATGTGGGGAGGGGGGGCTGAGTAAAACTCTTCAGGCGTTCTCACCTCTGATTTGCCAATGGACCTATCAGTCAAACCAATGACCGTCCTTTAAAATGAGTAAGTTATGAGAGGTGAGGACATCCGGACAAACATCCAGCCTGACCAGAAATGACCGGGACCCACGGTTTGGCTCTGTCTGCAGGATTGGCTGTGGTCCTCGGGGCTCAAGGCTTTATCCTCCCAGCTCCTTTTAAATAATAATAATCCTTGCATCTTATCAGTTAAAGAGGTGAGCTGTTGATAGATTTTGGGGGAGACAGTGGGCTGAACCCATGCCACCAGCCACCTATGCCTCTGGATCCTTTATCCACTAAGTCATTAACCATTCATGTACAATCCAGTAAGGGATTATTTTATTGGAAAGTTGCTGAACCTCAGTGCGCTTGTCAAATGAGTTTTAGAGACTTCATGGCTCTAAGCATTTTAACAAAAGTGTGATATTCTGTTTCCCAGATCCAGATGTACCAGCTTTCACGTCTTCTCCATGATTACCACCGAGATCTCTACTGCCACTTTGAAGAGAATGAGATCAGTCCCAGCCTTTATGCTGCTCCATGGTTTCTTACCATGTTTGCCTCTCAGTTTCCTTTGGGTTTTGTGGCCAGAGTCTTTGGTAAACATTGCTGCTCTGTGGGGTTGTGGTGGGGGGGAGGGGAATTAGTTCATTGTTTTATTTTGCTGTCACACCAGAACACATTTTTTTAAGAAAGCAAAACATAATGACTCCCAAGTAATTGAAGTATGTCTAGCGGATCTGCAGGAACTTCACTCTGACTTCATCTACTTGCAAAGTAGAATTCCCTTGGGACAGAATTACAATCTTCCGGTTACTGGAAGGAGTATGAGATTTGTGACTTGGGAGTTTCTAAGGAATCAGCAACCATAATTTTACATATTTTTATGTTGGAGGTGTTATTTTTTAATTTACCTTTCATTTTATCTAATGTTGGAAACTATGATTGTTTAGTTGAAAAATTTATGTAACATGTGATAGAAATGACCTGCTCTGGTTGCTATTAGACTTGTTTTCCTGTTTTTGTAGACATGATCTTCCTTCAAGGGTCTGAGGTCATCTTTAAGGTAGCTCTGAGTTTACTGGGAAGTCACAAGCCACTTATTCTACAACACGAGAATCTGGAATCAATCGTTGACTTCATAAAGTGCACACTACCTAACCTTGGCCTAGTACAGATGGAAAAAACAATTATCCAGGTATAAAATATAATTCCAGGATGTTGGACTTGCAGTGAGGCACTGGTCTAACACACTGTTTTGTGAGTGGCTGATTTGGTTATAATGTGCTTTGCTTCCCTCGCACTGACCAGCTCTGGCGCTAAAATGGCCGACTTCTGGGTCATTGAGTTGCCGGTGGGGTCACTATCTGTTTACCGCACAAGTGCCCCACACAGGAAGTTGCGACAGCAAGAACCTCCTGACCTGGTCATCGTAATTTCCCTTGTGCTAAAAATGTCATTACCTCCCCACCAATGTTATTTCCTGCTTCGTGCATGACACGATGCACAAGATGTCTGTGCGGACCTTGTGAGATTATCTTTTTTTTCACTCAGGAACTAGCCGGCACATGGCTTGCGAGCTGATTGTCTGCACCAACAAGCAGTGAAACCAGTTATTGTAACCCTGAATGAAGGGCGTTTATAATCATTTAATTACAGGTTGTTCTTGTTGAAGATTACTACGATTGATTGATTGATTATTATTTTGACTTGTACCTTATCTTGTCAACAAAACATCTCAAAACGCTTTTGCTGTCAAGTATAGTGACTGTGTATTTTGTAGGCCAAGGCGAATAGCTAATTCAAGCTCAACAATGACCCACAAATGCCCGTGAAGTAAATGACTCATTATATGGAGGATTGTTGGCCAGGACGTTGGAAAAAAGCTCGCTTTTCGTTTGAAATAATGTTGTGAGATATTTTAACCTACACCTGAACAGGCAAATGGGACTGCAGTTCAGCTGGAGGACAGCACCTCCCGCACTGTTTTCAAGTGCCAACATGTACTATGAACTCAAGTCCCGACATGGGGCTTGAAATCATAACCCTTCTGATTCAGAGGCGAGAGTGCTACCGACTGACGCCTAAAGTGCAGGTTGGGATTTTATGGGCCCCAAACGACAACACCAACTTCTATTTATATAGCGCCTGTCATGCATGATAGTGTCCCAGAGCGCTTCACTATAATGGAGGGCTGCTGTATTATTTCTGGATAGCTTGCTTGCAATTGAGGCAGAAAGTATTGGCGGGGCTTCAGATCATACCCTGACACTCCATTGCAGTACTGGTGGGGAATTCTGCCTTGTAATCCCTATGCCACTATTCAAAGAAAAACAGAGTTCTCCTGATGTCCTGGACAACATTCATGGCAACTGGTTGGGCACCCAAGCGGTGGGGTGAGGGAAGATTCCAAAAGCGTGGAGGGGGTCAGGGACTCCAGGAAGGATTTCCAGAGTTTGGGGAAACTCTTATCAAATGTAAGGATTATTCTGTTTGTATCCATCCTCTGGAACTCCATCCCAGGGCCCCTCTGCCTCGTCCCCTCCCTTGCCTGTTCAAGGCCCATCTCAAGACCTTCCTTTTCGACTGTGCCTTCAATCATCTTCCCTCCTCCACTCCCCCTGCTCTCCACCCCTCTCTGATCCCATCCCATAGCATTGTCCAGTAATATAATTGCAATTTTTTTGTTGTTTGCCTACGTAACCAACCCCGTACTTCGAAGTTGCTCATTGTGTGAAACGCCTTGAGAAGTTGTAAATGTTTTGCATCAAATGCTATTATTTTTTGCTTCCTCATCATCTCGCAGGAAGATGTACAATTATTTGCATAGTAAATACTAAGTGGAGAATTGTAAAATTTCCCAATTGCCAATCATTCCATGGCAAATGTTCAAAAATTGCTTTCTGCAATCTGATCACCTTTCCGTGTTTATGAAGCTGGAAAATGCTCAAAACTGAATACGATTCTCATTTTAATACTTACTATAATAAGTAATTATATATATACATAGAATATATAGAGAATATATATTCTCATTTTAATACTTATTATAAGTATAAGTAAGGGCCATCGGAAATATTCTTCTTCTAGATTTTTCCAAAGATAATTATGAGCAATTATTTTGTTGAATCTTTGAATTTGTTCATTGCCTTTATTTAATATTATTTAATGGGTCACAAACTTGTTCTCATCGGCAATGATATGCAGGTCAAGTTATTACATGTGATGTAATGTGCACCAATGTTAATGTGAAGTGTTCTGTGAAGACGTGGGCTTTAGATCAATCTACTGAGTTCTATTACTGTTTGGAAGTAAACACACACGTCCACATACGTATCAGAAGTGATCGTCCTGATTCATGCTGTGTTTAGATTGTGTGTTGATTGACGGTTCACCACTAAGTTCAAGTCTTGGTTGAGCCAGCACAAGACGGTCTAGAATCCCGAGCCTGACATCACCTGGACAAGGCGGGTTCAGGAGCAGTGTAATTCTCACCCAAAATGGTAACACGGCAGGTGCAAATTAAACTGAGCTCTTTCCCATTAGAAAACTGATTCTGGAGTTCTGTACACGCTGAGAAATAAGTTAGGACAGTTCAGCATTGAAAAGAGACATCTTTAAAGGACCTTTTAGAGGCACAATAGCAGGAATGGTGCACATCTCCATGCTGACTATCCACATGACGTTTATTCCACGTACAACAACAACAACAAGATTCCATTTATAGAGTGCCTTTCACGTCAGGAGGACGTCCCAAGGCGCTGTACAGTTGGGTCAGGACCCGAGCAGGGGAGAAATGGTCAGGGTGAGGGGAGGGAAGGGAGGGAGCGAGGAGGGGGTAGAGAGTCGAGAGGGGAGCTGAAGGCACGGTCAAAGAGAAAGGTCTTGAGACCGGCCTTAAAGGAGGAAAGGGAGGAGGCGGCGAAGGCACTGGGGGATGGAGTTCCAGAGCCTCGGGGCTGAGAGGCTGAAGGCTCGGCCACCAATGGTAGGGCGGGGGATGTGGAGCAGACCGGAGCCAGAGGAACGGAGGGTACGGGCGGGTAGGTAGGGGGATAGTAGGTCGGAGAGGTAGGAGGGAGCGAGGCCATGAATGGCCTTGTAGGTGAGGATGAGGATCTTGAATTCCGTAGGGGCTCTCATGCAATAGTGCAATACGGACAAAAGAAAGCTTAGTTTGCTACACACAGTGAGACTGAAGTAGCAACATAAGGGACGCCTTTGAGCAATATTTTTACAGGTAATGTACAGTAGGCCAGAAGGAGAGAGAAATTTAGTCATACACGGGGAGAAAGTCAAAGCCAGAGAGAGGTAAAGTTAGAGTGGGGAAGAGCGTTGTCACACCATGGTACAACGGTGGCCATATATCTCCTGAATTACTGTATTTTGTGGGTGAAATGTGACAGCCATTTGCGCACAGTAGTGTCCCACAAACAGTCATAGATTTTTTTTTGACGGCTTCTTACCCCTGGAAAGTGATCCGCCAATTGACTAACAACCAGGTTCCTACTCACTGCTAAGTAAACAGAGCCGTGCGTGTGGAGTAAAGAAACTTGCCCAAGGCTTTGCCCTGCCTGGGAATTGAACACCATTTCCTCTCTTTTACCAGATGAGCACCGTAACCACTACGCTACAGGACTCCATGTATGGTCCAAAGGGCCTTCATCTGAGTCAATCTTTCACCTCCAATTAAAGGAGAAGGGAAACATTTTCTGACCTGTATGTGGCACCTTGTGACTTTTACTTACACACAATTGAACTATTCGCACAAAATAATATTTATCACTTTGAAAGGAAAAACACATTTGAACCACAAAACTTATTCTGGTGGCTGGTAGATAGGTCCCTAACCGCCCTGGCCTGCTTTCCCTTGTGAACATTGGGGTGTGATATTCAGCACAATGCCAAGCTTCATATTACTTTTTCCATAGAAGCCTTCTTGATGTGCCAAAAATTGCAACAGATATTTTAATGTGTGAAACTTCTTGACCTAAATAAAAAAGTAACTTCATTATATTTCCCACTGGTTAATAAACTTCATTTTCTCGCAAAACCTTTTTTTTCACATACAGCTGACGTTTGATTCCCACATATATGAAATGAATGTTTGCTTTGAATTGTCATACCTATTCAAATGAGCAATATAAATTTAGTGGAATAATCTTTTCTTCCTTTTTGGATGGTGAAAAGGGGTGGAGCAGGACTCCCGAGGCCCCTGTGGAGTTGCTTGTAGTATGAGTGATAGTTTTTAACATGGTTATCAAATTTACATTATTCAATTTTCTACTCCCTGTGTGGGTTTACAAAATGATTGGACAAGTTTAATTCAAATATCTAGCACTAGAGGCTAATATTGCAGCTAGACTGAGAAGACAATGGTGTCTCTTCTCTGTCTAGCTGTCCTGGAGGAACAGAACCCTCCAGAGAGAGAGTCCGCATTTCACTAAAACACTCTCCTTGGAGGGTTCTGTCCTTCCAGAGACGGTCCGTATTCCATTCCAATAATTAGGAATTTCCATGTGTAGATGGGATGCATGGAACTCTCAGTTTGGTTTGCATACTCTTTAAGCACGGTGATGGGGTTCTGTTTGTGTCAGACATCGGCCGACCAAAAAAAAAAGTTTGGGTTAATTCACAGAATAGGATTATGGAACTGACGTTTCAGGTTTTACTGTAAAATGGGTCAAGAATTCAGTGGAACAGTGGTGTTTTGTTTTTCTTGGAACCGGTAACTGACTTACCACGTCAATCAGCATCAGTGAATCAGCACCTTACAAAGTCCTGCTGTCATGAAAGGTGCCAGGTAAATGTCAATTTGTATTGCGTAACACGCATTCAAATGAAAATCACTAAAAAAAATTCATACCCTTTTTTGTCGAACATTTACAAACAGCAATTTTGAGAATCAAAATTATACTGCAGAAATGTGGTTTAAAAATATGATTCAAGGATGCCATTTGTCATAAGGAAGTGAACCACTATCACCAGCAAAGTTGATTAACATTAAAGTTTTCATAAAGGATGTCATTTGCACTTGGAAGTAACCTTGCTGTTGTGTGCAGGTGTTTGACATGGACCTCTCCAAGCAGCTGCAAGCTTATGAGGTTGAATACCATGTCCTCCAGGATGAGATGATGGATTCTGCTCACCCCATGAACGATAATCAGCGAATGGAGAAACTGGAGAGAAGCAATAATTGCTTGCGCAAGCAAAATAGTGACCTCTTGGAGGAGCTTGAGGTACAATGCTTGGATTTGGGTCAAAATTCCACCTACTTTTAGCTTGTAAATCTTCAATTTTTAGATCACTCGAACGGTGGAAAAATTTTAATCTTAACTTCACTTTCTTTTACAATTCAGCATGATCTTAAAGATAAGATAAAATAAAATCATCGTACTGGCCAAGATGAGATGGAATTTTAGGCCTCGACATTTTAACGTTGAACTCCCAGATTGACTTTTGAGCAATGAATCTACCGTATTTTTAGATGCATTGTAAATCTGGGAATTTATATAAATTAACAAAACATTAGATGTTAATGTGGATGCATATATGTAAGGTCAGTCAAAGTAAGATAGTTACAAATCTTATCAGAATCTAGTAATACTTTGGGGAAGATAATATTGAAGGGTATATGAAAGAGAAAAGCAGGATAATGGGACTAGAATGGATTGCTTTGGATGGGGGTGTGGTGCTGGCACCAACACAGATATGATGGGCTGAATGGCCTCAATGTTCTAGCTAGATATGATGGGCCTCAATGTTCCAAACCTTCTGGACCATTCCCTGAAAGTATCCAGTCACTGTTAAGGTAGTTGTCAACAAGATGCATCCAATACTGAATTGTATCTTGGGAATATTTGAGTACAGCTAATCTAACTTAGGGGTCTTTTGTGTGCCTTGTGTAAAATTGTGTACAGACAGTTAGAAGTCCTTATGTAATATCAGTAAAATAATTTATTATTAGACACCAGTTCGCACAGTTATTAGGAAATCCAACGTTTTCTGGGGTCAAGACAACAAGAACAATGCAACCATAGAATTCATATTATATCATATTATAGAGATTTTAGTTCCAAGCGGGTGACATTGAACCTGGGCTCCATAACATGGGATGGGTTGGATGAGATCAGCTGGAGTTCCTACAACAACAACAAATTACATTTGTAAAGAGCCTTTCACGTCAGGAGATATCCCAAAGCGCAGGACAGTCAGGGATTTGGACCTGAGCAGGGTATTAGGATCGGTGGGTGGGAGTGGAGGGCGGGGACGGTAGGGGTAGAAGGGTGACCAAAGATGCGGTCAAAGAGGAGGATGTTGAGACGTGCCTTGAAGGAAGCAAGAGAGGGAGCAAGGCGAAGGGACTGTGGAATGGAGTTCCAAAGGATGGGGGCAGAGAGGCTAAAGACCCGTCCGCTGTTGATGGGGCAGGCTGGGTGGGGACGTGGAGCAGGCCAGAACGGACCGGTCGATGTGGCGTTAGTAGGTCACAGAGATGGGAAGGAGCTACACTTGATGGTTATCCAATGATTTTCCCATTCAAAATTCAAAGCTATATTTGGAAAGTTTCTGACTTATAAAATGTTGTGTCACTTTAAATTACAACTTGCTCATTGCTAATAAGGGTACAATGGACTAAGGATTGTCAGAAGAATAAGCTATTTTGATGAATGCTTAAAATGTATTTTTTCTTGTGTATATCTAGATAGCTCATGCAAAAATCCAGAACCTGGAAGCTACGGTTGAAGGCCTTGCGTCCAACGAGACAAAATTAAAGCAAGCCATTCGTACACTGGAGCTGGAGAGAGGGGCACTCCTTGACACAGTAACAGACTTCCGAAGGCAGCTTCCCAACATTGCACCTTTTGATGATGGAACATTCTTTGAAGCAAATGAAAAGGAATGCAAATTCTAATGGACTTCATGGAGGAGAAACCCTTGAATCTGAATGGTCCTGTGGTGGAACCAACCCAAACGTCTCCGGTTGACAAATAGGTCATCTGCTTGATTCAATTCTGAGTCCCAACAGACTCATCTTGTGTGCTAATGTAGTCATGCTATAGATCACTGGATTGTCATCCATTGCCAAAGGCAAATCAGTGGAAAGGTTCTTCTATACAAGAATTGTATGGATTTATTTATGGCTGACTTAAAATCTAGTTTAATCTTGGCTCAGAAAGATCCATTCTTAGACACTAGATTTGAGTACATGTTTCAAAGCATTTTTCATACATGTCTTTGTATTAGTCATTCTTCTGGAGTAACTTAAATCATTGCAGTGTATTTTAATGTATATACCTTTTTAACTGCAGGGTGCACTTCTTGTCAAACTGTGAAACTCCTAGGGAGTCACTACATTTCAGAACATCTGGTAACAAGCTTTGTTTTTCTAAAGTTCTTTGCTATTTTATTTTAACTGAACACTGGTTTTCCTCATCTATCCTCACTGCCTTCTCGCACGTAAACATTTATTTTTATAAGCAAATATTCTGGAATTTTCTTATGAATGCATTTACATACATTGAATTATGTCATGTTGTGATCACCATAATGGATGAAATGTTAACTGACCATTCTAGTTTTATCACTATCTCATAACAAAGGCAAATATCTATCCAGTTTGTTAGTTAAAGAAGCCTTTACAGATATTGATTGTGGGAAACATGCCAGAGTTTGCTGAAAACCATCCTGGGGACGATGAAAATAGAAAAATGTTTTGGTTCAATGGTGGTTTTATCAGACGTAATCTTCCTTTCGCTTTCTCCACAATATGGAGAGTTCCGCAAGGATTTTGTGTGTCTGGTATGGAGTGCGCACACACACTCTTCCTCGACAAACATTAGTTAAGCCCTACCTAGCAATGGAATATCTGAACCAGGCCCATACCTTGTGCTGGTTAACTAATTCTGGAGAGTGTTGGCACAGGTTGGCAAGAGCCAAAGCTTGGGAATCCCAGAGTGTTCATTGGAGTACAACTGGAGTTCAACCAGCTAAAACCATGCGACTTGTCATTGTGAACATTGGCAAGCTTCCTGTTGTTTGTCTGGCTAGGAATAACTATTCATTAGGAATTCGGCTGGCAGGTTTAACAGCAGTCAAGTGGGAAGAATCCCAGCTCCCAGTTACTCATCTGCTCCTCCACCTCCTACTAACAAGCCAAGCTGGCTGATCCGTCATGAACAGTTTCTTGTATTGCGACCTACTTGGCTGAGGAACTGGTCTACTGAGACCGGCTTGGTTCAGATATTCCATTGCCAGGCATGTCATCTTGGAGCCAACTCAGCACCAAGGAAACCCTACAATATCTATCCCCCCCACCCTTATACAAAAGAATCAAATCATAACCAGTCCAACAGCTAAATGAGGATTTAAGGAGATGTACGACTGTTTGCCCGATGCAGATTGTACAGTTAAAAAAGGGTAACTCAAACAGGGTGGAGATCAAGAGAAGTTATTTGACCTTAAGTCGTATGTAAATAAGCCGCCCCTGCGATGATTGTGCTATCAGTATGTGTTAGATAATTCCACTCCAGTATTAGTGTTTCGACGATCACTTAAAATCTGCAGGGGTTTCTTGTTCGGTTCAGCTTCCCTGTTGAAACATGAATATAAAGGAGTTTATGCTTGTGAGCGGTGATGAACATTTACATCTCCCTTTAGTTCACAGCATATGACATAAATACAGAAACATAAAATCTGTTTTTGGAACTTTATAAGGTGTAGCCACAAAGCATTGTTCGTTGTTCTGCTTTCGACTACAAATTCTATCACTATCATGCCCCAGTTGCTGGTCAAGATGTGGTAGAAGAAATGGCAAGAGGAAATAAATCAGAAAAATAATTGCTTTTCCTCTCTCTGCCAAAATAAAATAGGGAAAACCACAATATATATTCAGTTCTGTGTAAAATTGTACTGAATTTAAAAAGTGGTCATTTTAAACGATTGTTTACATGGCAGCAAGAAGATTTAAAAGGATTTCATTAGTTACATCAAATGCGTATTCATCAACTGCTCTAAAATGTAGAAAACGGTGATCAAAACAAGTGACTGTTGTCACCATGGTTAAATTATTTTTTTGGGTGTCACTGGTTATCACACATTGCTTGAGAGTATCCAAACCAAACTGTGTTTGACACATGTATGCTATCTACACATTGAAGATTCCCATGTGTCTGGAATTAAGTTTTTATTTGTCTCCACAGAAAGACACACTCTCCTTAATTAATACAATAATAAAATAATCCTTGCATTTGATATAGCGCCTTATCACATCTTCAAGACATCTCAAAGTGCTTCACAGAACATACTGTAAAGTGAATTGACTGTATTTTGTGGGCAAAATGCGGCAGACAATTGCGCACAGCTGTGTCCCACAAACGTTGTGGATTGAAGTGTCCAATTATTTTTTTAAAAAGGAGTTATTACCCCTGGAAAAGCGATCCATCAATCGACTAACAACCGGGTTCCTACTTACTGCTAGGTAAACAGAGATGTGTGGAGTAAGGAACATTGCCCAACATTTCACCCTGCCGGGAATTGAACCCAGGTCTCTCGCTTGGGAGGCAAGTGCTATTAATTAATCCCTGAAAATCCACCTTTTTGGTACCTTTTACCATGAGGGAGAAGTTTTTTTAAATGACTTAACCATATGGTTAAATTGTTTTTTTAAATCAATATGGTTCATTGATTGATTTTAACCATCATGATGGCAAAAATGTGACACCATTGCAACTATTCATTTTTTCCAATTCCATTATCAGAATTCATATCCACTCTAAAACTGCAGTAAGAAATGAAATTCCTATTTGAATGTTAAAATATGAGGTATATATATACAACATACAATGTATACAACATACATTCGTTCAACATAAAATGTGCCTCCAAAGGAAATTGGAGTTCAAATTAAATGCATTTTTGAATGTATGAAAGTAGAACATTGTGTTGAGCTTTTTACAGATTTGTATTCGTGTTTTTTTTCAAGTGACTAGAAAGTGAATGTGATTTTAAAAATGCAGTCATACCTTGTGCTAAATCATCATCTTGGGTTTTTGTATCTCCATCCCATTTTAGTAATCCAGCACACATCCAGAAAGTTATTTCCAATTTTTTTTAAAAAAATGCCATTGTTGTCAAAAACTAAATCTCAGAATATTTCAGTTAATGATGGTATTCAGAACCATTACGGAATAGTTCAATGTCATTGGCAAACCATGATGTAAGATATACAGAAAGAAGCTTTTTGAGCCCAATCCACATTATGGCACAGAGACTTGGAGACTTCATATCAAAATACTTGAACTTCTTTCTTATGGTTTTAGACCTAAGCAAAATTATTTTACTTGTGCATTTTTTAGCCATTGTACACATACCTCATATTTTAACATTCGGAGAGGAATTTCATTCTAGGGATGTATATTGGCCAAGCATTGTAAAAGAGTACAGGAAACCAAGGCATAATTCCTTAGAGATTTACCTGAAAGGGTTGTTAATTTGTGGGTTGTGTTAATTAACTCCATGTAAACGCATGAGAATTGCATTTAATTATGTAGTTGATGCATTGAGAGCTGTTTACAAAATCACCTATAATCCTTTTCATTGGTTAATTATGGTTGTTTCATTTGCTCTTTACATGTGGTTTTGCACATAGTTCAGACAACATGCAAATTAGATCCCAGAAAAGGGAATGAAGCCTCGGGAAAGGGAGCAATATCAGGTATTCTCCCCATGTTTCCTATAATTAAGTACAAAATGTTATCAAAATGCTGGTCTGAATCCTAGTGGTAGAGATTTCAGATAAATGTACACCCCAATAAGGATAAGATGATTAACTGTGTTTTATTAGCCATTGGGATTGAAGTGCCTACTGATGATCAATATGGCCCGCACTGTTAAGTGCAAGGCGGAGCCCATAATACTGTAATTCAAACAAGCAACATATTTTGGCCCAAAATATTAAAAACCTGTTAAAATGCGATTGTTATGGAATTGATGCCAATTAAAGTGGAAGATAATGGAAAACAATAGTTTGCAACCCTACTTAATTCGGTCTGTTCAGCAGTTTAATGTGGGTAATACAATTAAGGCATCACCTCTACTGGTTCCAGTATTTATTTTATTCTTAGTGCTGCTTAGCCAAAGTTGTGATGCAACATAGAAGCTTCACATAATACTTCCTGATCAGAGGTCAAGTTGGGGAATGATGTTTTCAGTCTATTGATTGAAGTAGCACTCTTCTGAATGTATTATAACTAATAAAATTGTCTTTGTTAAAAAGGTACAGAAGTCTTCTTGTCCACATGGTATACTGGTATACTTTTAGTTTAGCAAAACATTTTAAAATGATTACTATTGAAACCTGACCAGAGACTGAATGTACATACTTTGTTAAAAATGAAAGGATAAATACGTAGTGAGCAGGTCTGAGAAGGTGCTAGATAGATAAATAAGTGTTTTCAAAATTGAGGCCCAGAGATACAAAAAATATAAGGCACCATTTGCATTCACCTAAACAGGCCCGCTCCAACTAACTGGTAATGTAACTCATTGTTTGATGTGCTTTGATGTGAACACGAGTGTGATAGTGTAGTGAATTCTTTTGTGCACCCTTCATTGCAACTTTAGTGCATCAATTCCAGTGTTGCGCAGAGCAGGAGCAAGCCATGCTGTATAGTTCTTGGCTAGTGACACACATTCAACATGTTCCCACAAAGCTCTGACAGTTTGAATCAGTTCATTGCGCATTGCATTTTATTATATTTAATTATTCACTAAAATAGAGTAGGGATAAACAGATCCTTCTCAGATTGGTGGGATGTGACTAGTGGAGTGCCACAAGGATCAGTGCTTGAGCCTCAACTATTTACAATCTATATCAATGATCTAGACAAGGACATAGAACTTAAAATATCTAAATTTGCGGATGATACTAAGCTAGGTGGGAGAGTAAACTCTGAGGATGACACAAAAAGATTGCAAAGGGATATAGATAGACTAGGTGAATGGGCAAGAAGGTGGCAGATAGAATATAATGTGGGGAAGTGTGAAATTATTCACCTGGGTAGTAAAAATAGAAAAGCAGATTATTTTCTAGAAGAGGAGAGACTAGATAGTATTAGTGTTCAGAAGGATTTGGATGTCCTTGTACACCAGTCACAAAAAGTTAGTATGTAGGTACAACAAGCAACTAGGAAGGCTAATCGCATGTTGCCATTTATTGCAAAAGGGTTAGAATTCAAGAGTAGGGAAGTCTTGCTGCAGTTGCATAAGGCCTTGGTGAGACCGCACCTAGAATATTGTGTGCAGTTTTGGTCTCCTTATTTAAGAAAGGACATAAACGCCTTAGGGGGGGGGCGGCGTACATTCACTAGGTTGGTTCCTGGGATGAAGGGGTTGACCTATGAGGAGAGATTGAGTAAACTAGGCCTATATTCTCTAGAATATAGAAGAATTAGCGGTGATCTTTTAGAAATATATAAGATTCTTATGGGGCTTGACAGAGTAGACAGTGTGAGATTGTTTCCCCTGATAGGAGAAACTAGAACTAGGGGTCACAGTCTTAAGATTAAGGGACAGCCCATTCGAACAGAGTTAAGGAAACACCTCTTCACTCAGAGGGTAATGAATTCATGGAATTCTCTACCCCAGAAAGCTGTAGATGCTCAGTCCTTGAACATATCCAAGACTGAGATTGATGGATTTCTAAAGGATAGAGGGATTAAGGGATATGGGGATAAGGCGGGCAGATGTAGTTAGGTTACAAGATCAACCATGATCTTATTGAATGGCGGGGCAGGCTCGAGGGGCCGAATGGCCTACTCCTGCTCCTAATTCCTATGTTCCTAATGTGAAGAATTGCAATTGTTTAGTGACTCAATGGGTTTCTGCTTCATTAGCACATAAGCAATCACCAAAATGTGAGATTCATCTCTTTCTGAAATGGAATCAGGA